TGTTTTTAAATAGTTAAAATAAAATATTATAAAAATAATGACATTCTTTTATAAAATCTATTATATATTATTCTGTTTCATATAATTTTATATAATATTTTATTATAATAAAAGGATTGTTATTTAACAACTTATCTTATGTATATTATTTTATATTATATTTTATCAATTTTTTCATTTGATGTAAAATTTTTTAATAGGAAATAACTTATATTTATATACAAACATACTTACATGTTTATTTTAATATATATATATTTAAACATATATTTATATAAGATGTTATAGAAAACACGTGATACAAAGATGGAAGAAGATATACCGAAACTTCAACAGAATGAATCAAATAACAAAAGACCACAATTTGGTAACAGAACTCTTTCTAACAATAACAATGTATTTCAACATAATGCATGGTATATTATTGTTTAGTATATATATTTATATATTATTGTTTAGTATTTAATTTGTAATATTAAAGTTTTATAATTATAACCTATAAAATACTTTTAAATAAAATTGTTATAAAAATTAATCATAATAATTAATATAATCATTAATCATTAATCATTAATTATAATTAATATAATTAATTGTTAAACTTAAACTTACTTTCGTTTATTATATATAATTTTTATTATTTAAATTATTATTTAAAGGGATAATATTATATGGGATGAAGAACAGCAAAATTTAGCAAAACAAAAAGTAAATGAAAACTCAAGCATAACTATGTCAGATAAAAAAATTTGGGAATATGAACATGAAGCTTATAAATATTGGGATAAGTTTTATGGAATACATGAAAATAAGTACATAGATCAATTATTAATAATTTCTTTAAATTATGAAATAAATATAATAATTTTTAATAATTTCTTTAAATTATGAAAAAAATTTTTCATTTTTAATGTTACAGATTTTTCAAAGATAGACATTGGTTATTTACAGAATTTCCTGAATTAGCTATTGATATTGTAAAACAAAATATTAAACAACCTCTAAGATTTAAAAATGAAAACATAAAAAAAAATGGTCAAGAAACTCATGAAAGTATCCTTGATTTACCTAATAAAAATGGAAATAAAATTTTGGAAATTGGTTGTGGAGTAGGAAACACAGTATTTCCAATACTTTTGTATAACACAGATGCAAACTTATTTGTATATTGCTGTGATTTTTCTGCAAAAGCATTAGACATATTGAAACAGAATTCTGCTTATGACACATCGAGGTATAATCTTATAACATTTTAAATAACACATTATAACAATATTAAATGACATTTTTTTTTATATTTATTTTAAAGATGTAAAGCATTTATTCTTGATGTAACACAAGAAGAATGGCAAACTCCTTTTGAACCAGAAAGTTTAGATATTATTGTGCTGATATTTGTTCTTTCAGCTATTAATCCTGAAAAGTAAATATATTTATTATTATCAAGTATATATATTTTTATAATTAAAACTTTATAATTAAAAAAAATTAACATTTATATAATTATATAGCATTATATAACAATTATATAAAAAATAAATTATAATTTATTTCTGCAGAATGAAACACATTATAGAACAAGTCCACAAATATTTAAAATCAGGTGGATTAGTTTTGTTTCGAGATTATGGAAGATATGATTTAGCTCAATTAAGATTTAAAAAAGGTAGTTGCCTTGCAAACAATTTTTATGTTCGAGGAGATGGAACTAGAGTGTATTTTTTTACACAAGGTATTTAATTTAATATTAAATTAAGTATTTAATAAATAATATATAAAAGTAATAAATAAAATAATAAATAAATAAAATATTTATTTACAGAAGAAATTAGGATATTATTTACAAGTTGTGGTTTTATAGAAGAACAAAATTTTGTAGATAGAAGATTACAAATTAATAGAGGAAAACAACTTAAAATGTATAGAGTATGGATTCAAGGAAAGTATAGAAAATAAATGAAAATTGCTATAATTGATATAACTATTTCAATTTTTTTTAAATATTCTTTTTTAAAATATTAAAGAATACATAAAAACATTTAATCAAAGATACATTACAATTATAAAACAAAAGAATTACAAGAATTACAATTACAATTACAAAAGAATAATTATGAAATATATCAAAATAAAATATTTAAATTTTTATCTATAAGATAAGTTATTAGAATTTTAAAACATTAAAATATAAGCAATTTGTAATTTGTAAGTATTTAAATTTAATAAAATCTTTATTCAAAAAAAAGTATTATTTATTTGTATAATATATTTATAATTTGATAATACAAATATATATTCATCTATATTATTTATAATATATATTACTATAGAAGAAAAAAATTATAATTCAAAAAAAAAAATTTATATTGGCAACATTGTTTTAAGGCATAAATATGGCAGCGACCGTAATCGTCTTAGTTTAAAGAGAAATAAATCATTTTTATGATTCATCACTAAACTATTTACTTTAAATTTACAAAAAATATAGAAAAACATGGGAAATGCTGACACAAAATTAAATTTTCGAAAAGCAGTTGTACAACTGACATCAAAAACGCAGGTGAAAATTGTTATTTATCATTTTGTTCAATAGCATATGATATGTTTGACATTTCAAATCAATTCCAAATATATATAATTTTTGCATTGTTTAAATCAGTAAAAGATATTTAAATAGATATATAATATCTATATCTATTTTTATAAAATATTATTATTTTATTTTATATTTTTTTTAATTTTATAAAAATTGCTAATAAATTATAATTTGCCACTATAGGTTAAAAAATATATATTTTTTTTTCGTAATTGTAGGTGATCGACGCTTCAGATGATAATTTCTGGGATCAATTTTGGTCTGAAAATGTCACTAATGTACAAGATATTTTTACTTTAATTCCTGCACCTGAAATTCGTATATTAAGAGAAGAAGCCCCTTCAAATTTAGCTACATTATGTTATAAAGCAGTGGAGAAATTAGTGAAAGCAGTTGATAACAGTTGTAGAACACAAAGAGAACAACAAACTGTTTTAAATTGTTGTCGTTTATTAACAAGATTATTACCTTATATTTTTGAGGATGCTGATTGGAAGGGGTTTTTTTGGTCTAGTTTACCTGGTAAAGAAGATGAAGAAAGTGTACCTTTAGCTCATTCTTTACTTAATGCTCTTTGTGTAAGATATTTTTGAAAATAATAAAAAATATTAGAATATATTATAATTATATTTATATTTATACTTTATATTTATAATTATATTTATATTTCTACTTTAGGATCTCTTATTTTGTCCTGATTTTACAGTAGCTGCAAATAAAAAATCTGGTCCTGTAAGTATTTTTTTATATTTATATAAAATTATAATATATATATATAAATTATATTATTAGAATATTATAGAATATTATAGAATATTTAGAATATTATATTAGTATTTATTAAAATGTTTTTGGAATTTTTTTAGGATAAAGCAGAAGAATTACAATCTATAGATAGTTGTGAATATATCTGGGAAGCTGGTGTAGGATTTGCCCATTCACCTCCTAGATATCCAATTTTAGATTCAAATAGAACAGAGTTATTAAAGTTGTTATTAACTTGCTTCAGTGAAACCATGTACAATCCTCCTCTGGATTTATCAGTTACTCCAAACAAATGGATTCAACACTTAACTAGTTCTGAAAATAGGTAAGTTAAAATACTTTTTAATATAAATTTATTATTAGTGTATAACAAAATATAAAAATAATTAGTTTATATAATGTTATATAATGTTATATAATGTTTATATTTAATACAGACATGCTTTGCCTATGTTTACATCATTATTGAATACAGTATGTGCATATGATCCTGTTGGACTTGGAGTGCCATACAATCATTTATTATTTACTGATTCGTTAGAACCATTAGTTGATGTTGCATTACAAATTCTTATAGTAACATTAGATCATGATACCAGTGGTAGTACTCCATTAGAAGAAGGAAATATTGGAGATAATTTATTCATTAATTATTTAAGTCGAATTCATCGAGATGAAGGTAAAATCTATATTTAATTATATGTTTTTTGAACAAATAATGAGATAAATTATTATTTTTAAATTTTCAGATTTTCAGTTTGTATTGAAAGGTATTACGAGATTATTAAATAATCCATTAATGCAGACATATTTACCAAATTCAACTAAGAAAGTACATTTTCACCAAGAATTATTGGTATTTTTTTGGAAAATGTGTGATTATAACAAGAAATTTTTATATTATGTACTAAAAAGTTCAGATGTTCTTGAAGTATTAGTACCTATATTGTATCATTTAAATGATTCGCGTGCCGATCAATGTAAATGATGAATTAAATAATTATAATCTTGAACAAATTGATAAAATTTAAATAAATACTTTTATTACATATAATAATTAAATATAATTTTGCAGCTCGTGTCGGATTAATGCATATTGGTGTATTTATTTTACTTTTATTAAGTGGAGAACGTAATTTCGGCGTTAGATTGAATAAACCATATACAGCTACAGTACCTATGGATATTCCTGTTTTTACAGGTATTATAATATTAATACATTCTATTTATCAATATGATATTTTTTTAATTATTAAATACTTACAGGTACTCATGCTGATTTGCTAGTCACTGTTTTTCACAAGATAATTACAACTGGACACCAAAGATTACAGCCATTATTCGATTGTTTACTAACAATTCTAGTCAATGTATCTCCATATCTTAAAACACTATCAATGGTGGCTAGTACTAAACTATTACATTTACTTGAAGCATTTAGCACTCCATGGTTTTTATTTTCAGCACCTACTAATCATCATTTAGTATTTTTTCTTTTAGAAATTTTTAACAATATCATTCAGGTAATTTTTATAGAAAAGATTTTTAAATTTAAAATAAAATGAAAATTAACAAAGTTTATTTTGCCATTATTAGTATCAATTTGATGGAAATAGTAACTTGGTTTATACTATAATACGCAAAAGACAAGTTTTTCACGCATTAGCAAATTTACCAAGTGATTGTAATACAATTGCAAAGTCTCTCAGTAAAAGACAACGTCGTCATGTACCTGCTAGTACATCTAATGAAAATGTTAATGAAACAGCAATGGAAGGTTCACATCCTGCACAACCTGCAGAACCTGGAACTTTAAAAGCAACTTTATTAGAAACCCCAGGTAAATTTCTGATATTTTATTATTCGTTATTTGACATTAATATCTTTTGATTATTCAATATATTATATTGAATAATTGATAATTATTTCAAAGGTATTGAAAAAATGACTGAAAAAGAATCTGCACATCCATTAAGTCCTTCAGTAAATATTGATGTAGGAAAGTCTAATCATCAAAACAATGTAAGCTCTACAGAAGATTTAATGAATTCTACTAAAAACTCTGTTATACCAGTAAGATTATAATGGTATAAATAATCAATGAATATATTTAATATTCATAAACTATTTATATCTTGTTTTAATAATTAAATAGAAAGGAGGTATTAGAGTGGCAGAACAGAATTCTTCTAACAATATAAATCAGTGGGTTCCTTCTAGTGAATGGGTATATCAATGGAAAACTAAACTTCCATTACAAACTATTATGCGATTACTTCAAGTTCTTGTACCTCAAGTTGAAAAAATATGCATTGATAAGTAAGTATAATTTATCATTTTTTTTTTAATTTTTTTATTATAAATTATAAATGTACATTTATCTTATTAAATATTTCAGAGGTCTTACAGATGAAAGTGAAATTTTGAAATTTTTACAACATGGTACATTAGTTGGCTTGTTGCCAGTACCGCATCCTATTCTTATTAGAAGATATCAAGCAAATGCAGGAACAACTGCTTGGTTTAGAACATATATGTGGGGCGTTATATATTTAAGAAATGTTGAACCACCGATATGGTATGATACTGATGTAAAGTTATTTGAAATCCAAAGAGTCTAAATGCAATGAATATTAAGCAAATTATTATTAACTTTAATATTGAAATTTATATTATCTTTCCTTGAAATATTATTTTCTTAGTATAAAGAAAGAAATCTCAGTAATTTATTTATTATTATTAAGTTGTTCCCAATGATAATTTATTTTAACAGTAATTAGTAAATTAATTCAGTAATTAGTAAATGACATTTTCACAAATATAATCTTTCTTATGAATCTATTACACAGAATTATAGAACTGATTTTACAAATATTAATTATGGAAAATTATAATAATTATAATACTCAATTTTCATTAATAAATATATAAATACTTGTTATTATATAAGTGCCTTCACAAATACAAATCATAAATACATAAATTGATAAATTGGTAAATATATTTAATCAATGATATAGTTTTTTTTCCTTCATCAATTTAATATTTTCAATAAAAGAATATTACTCAATTGTTTATTTTTTATGAGTGAATACAATATTATAATATATTTATTAAAAATAAATGAAATGTAATGTATTAATCTGTAAATCTGTGTAATAGTAATAAAAATTTTGAAAGACATGATAATTCACACTATTATGCATAATATATTATTTAAAATACAAATATTATTTTCATAATATTTGTTTTCGTAATATTTTTATTTTATCATGCTTTAAAATTATATAAAAGTATAAAAGTAACAAATGAATTTATTAAATTTTAAGTGATAATTTTTCTTCACTGATAATTCACTGATAATTTTTTTTTTATATTTTTAATGTTTTGAAAATTAGAAAATGGAGTTCCTTTTTTTTTGTTCGTTTCACATATTTTAATTATGTATTTAAATTATTAGATTTCTAATCTTATAATATGAAAATCTTATAATATTTATTTACTAAAATTTTAAAAATAACAATCATATATTAAATATATTAGATATATCTAATATATTAGATAAATTTATTTTATAATTAAAATACTTAAAAAAAAAATTAATATTTCTTTTTAAATATATATAATTTTATCTTTTATTTCAA